AAAAGAAGGAGAACACGAAAAGGAAAGAGGGGAGGAAAACAGATAAGATAGAAGGGCGAAACAAAGGACGAAAAACTAAGAGAGAATAGAGGGAAGAAAACAATAGGAGAAGGGAGGCGAAAACTAGGGAGAGGAACGAGGGGACGAGAGAAAAAAAAAAAAAGAGAGAGAGAAAAGAAAAGCACCCCCACCCCCACCCACCCAAGAGAGCGCGAGAGACGACTCCGGGACCCTTGAGACGACCGCAGGACCGCAGCGAGAGACGTTGATCGTCGATCACCAAATCAGACCTGCACTTGGAGTGCAGTTGGCAGCCTCAAAGAAAGAAAGAAAGAAAACAGGCACCCCAAGGGAGGGATGGGAGGACGGCACGCCGCCACCACACAGGGATTTTAAGGAGAGGAGTGTGGTGCTAGCCGTCGCCCACCCTCTGGCGTCTACCACTTCCTATCTCTCTCCGCAGTTTCTCACCAATTCTCGCAGCGACCTTCATGCCACCTCGCGTTCTTCCCACTCTCGTCGTTCTCTCTCCTGCTGTCTCTTCCCCCCTGACTCATCGCTCTCCTCGGCCTCGTTCTGAGACGCCGCTGCCGTCTGCCTTGCTCTCGCTGCTTCTCTCGCCTTTCTGCGTAACTCCGCTCTCCTCTCCGCGTATTTTGGTCCCTCGAGTTGGCAGCCTCACACCCATGGCGGAGACCAAAGGAGGCTTTTTTGGACGCCGTTACCACAGGATCCAAAATGGCAGAACGTTGGGAGCACTGCGCCCGTCGCGGTGCGAGGCCATTGGTGCTACTCGCCTTCTTATCGCTCGCGAGCCCTGCATGCGGAGATAGCGCATCACCGCCATCCCAACCTCTTACAACTTGCAATGGGCTGCTATTCGTGACAAACGGCACAAGACGCAACGGCAGCCTCGTCGACGGCAATGCTGGTGAATGGTGTTGGAACACAATCAGCTCTGCTTCCAGCGACGGCTTTGTCCTGGGGGACCAGCTTGCATGCGATTCAGCTTTCGTTGAGCCAAGCAATAGCTCGATCGACCTCGCCACGCTCGTGATTGGTGATTGCTCTTCCGGCTGTACTCAGTGTGCCTACGTGACTGAAGATGGAGGTTCGTCGTACAAGTGCAAGGGGGTGAGCACGACCTTCGGCTGTCCTCCACCGGCGCCACCTCCGCAGTCGCCGCCATTGCTTCCTCCGTTTCCCCCCACCGTGCCGCCTCTCCTTCCGCCAGCTCCGCCACTGTTCCCTCCGCAGTCGCCGCCAGAGCTCCCTCATCCCCCGGCAGCACCCCCAAGGATGCCACCCTTCGGGCCGCCGTCGACACCACCTCCGGCGCAGCCGTTGCCCCCTTCATCGCCTTTGCCCAACCAACCGCCGCTGCTGCCTCCTAGCATGCCACCCCCGCTCTGTTTGGCTGAACCTGCTCTGCCGCCTCCGCTCGTGCCACCGCCACCGCCGGCGCTTCCGCCGGTGATGCCGCCGCCAACGACGCCACCATCGATGTTGCCGCCCCCCTCTGAGCCGCCACCGCTGGATCTTCCACCGCCACAAGCACCGCCACCGCACAGGCCGCCACCTCCGCCGCAATATCCACCGCCGCCGGCCTCGCCACCACTCGCACCTTCCGCACCAAGCACCCCTCCGCCGCCAGCTCTGCCTCCACCGCAGCTGTCGTCGCCACTATCGCCACCGCCTCCCTCCTTACCGCCGGCACTGCCTGCTGATGCGCCGCGGCTACCGCCCTCACCCTCGCTTCCTCCGCCGCCTCCAGCCCGTCCGCCTCCTCTCCCTCCTCCTGCTCCACCGCCGCCGCTAGCGCTGCCACCTCCGCTCTCGCCACCTCCCTCCTCACCGCCGCAGTCACCGCCGCCATCAATACCGCCCCCGCCTCCAATGACGCCGCCGTTTCAGCCTCCACCCACGCTTCCGCCTGTCATCCCAGCAGACATGCCGCGGCCGCCGCCGCCGCAACCGTTATCTCCTCCAATCCCTCCACTTTCGCCGCCGACGTCACCTCCGCCTGGCTCTCCAGCGCCCCGGTCGCCGCCGACGCATCCTCCGACGCATCCTCCTCCACCTACCTCGCCGCCTCTACTCCCACCCGTGTCGCCGCCCCCGCCGCCGCACCATCCCCCGGCCTTACCTCCGCCGTCAGCGCCACCAGTGCTTCCCCCGCTGTTGGGGCCGGGCCTCAGACGTGTCGAAGTCGCCTTTTCCACTGCATGTGAGGCCCTGCCGCCGCTCCACTCTCTCGTGGACCAAATATGTAGCGCCCTCAATGCAACGTCGGGAGCTCTGAGTCCATGCGGCCTCTCGGAGTCGAGCGTTGAGCTTCCCCTCGTCAAGACTGCCAGCAGCACCACTCTGCTCCTGATGCAAGTCGACGCTCAGACGCGTGCCCGACTGATCACGCTGTTCCACGCTCTGCATAGTAGCCCCCAGCCTCCGTCAACAACGGATTTCCCTCTATTGGCCCTCTTGGTGCCGGCTCATTTGTACGTCGCTGACGCCGCCAGCCGGGAGCTGCTCCTCCAGCCCTCCGCGCCGCCTCCCCCAGCTGCGCCTGTGACCGACTACTATGGAACATTGCAGATCGTCTACAACCTCCCAGATGGTCATACCCTCGAGGATGGCACCAGTAATATCACTGGCGCTGTCAGGAGCTCCCTGAACCTTGAGTCAGAGGAGCTCCTGCCGATGGAGCAGTGTCTCTGGGACGTATCCGCTGGGGGATGCATCGGGCGCCGCGTGCGTCGGCTGCAGCACGCAACCTCGAATCGGTCGGCCATGGTACGCCTCGGCTTTGTGCTACTCCCAGACCTCTCTGAGGCCCTGCAGAACCAGCGCCTTGCCATTACCACCCTCCTTTTGTCGCAAGAGGCCCTGCTTGTCCCGCTCGACTACTCGTATCGATATGACAGCGTCGTGCTGCAATCGCTCAGCGCGACTTCTGGCGTGACCGGGACGCTCTATCCCCAGCTCAGCGACGCGCCGCCCGGCTTACCCCAACCACCATCGCCACCACCATCTCCCTCGCCGCATCCGCCGCCATCCCCATCACCACCAAGTCCACCAGCTCCTCCGCCGCCGCCTCCGTCGCCCCCGTCGCCCCCGTCGCCGCCCCCGTCGCCCCCGTCGCCCCCGTCGCCGCCAATCCCGCCGCCGGCACCGCCATCGTTGCCTCCGTTCCCGCCAGCCACTCCGGACGACCGACGCGGCATTGCAACGTGGCTCTTGGTACTGCTGGTCGTCATCTTTTCCTGTGCCGGAGTAGCGGCGCTGGTCTTCACGGTGCTCGTGTGCACCAGAGGCAGGCCTGGCAGGAGGGACAGCGGCAAGGTTGAGCCGGGCGTGCGAGTGGCCGAGCCACCTAGGGACGGCGAGGAAGAGGGAGAGGGAGGGGCGCCTGCCGGCACTGCGGATCGGCGCGAGCGGAGGCGGCAGCGGAGAGGGCTACAGGTGGCGGATTCTCCGCCCGAGGGGGATGCCGGGGCGGTTGTCGAGTCGCCGGACGGCGCCGGCTCGGGAGCTGGCACCTCAGTGAGCTATGTGCCGGCCAAGGATGCTGCGAACGTGGCCGCCGCCGCTCTGCCCGGTAGCCGCATTACAGCAGGGCCAACAGGCCGGGCACAGGTCACGCTGCCCCCTCTCCGTGGAGCGCCGCCCACCGCCGAGGCGCGCCCCCCTCCTCGCTTTGTCGACCTGCCGCCCCCTGGCGACGCGCAGCTTGCGAGTGCCGCGGGCACAGCGGGGCAGCCCGTCACAAGCACAGCGGGGGGGACGCTAGCGTCGCAGGCGCCGTGGATAGAGGGGAGCTCCGCCACGCCCTCGCGCCCGACGCTCCCACCGCTAGCCGACGCGACGAGCTCGCCGCCGGCGCTACATCGAACGCCTCCTCAGCCTGCGGGGGAAGCTTCGCCGGGCGCGAGGGCGGCGCGGCGTCGGGCGGCTCGGGAGCAGGCATCAGCGGCGCTCACGAACGCTCTCGATGGCGAGCCCGCCCAAGGCGTGGCGGCCGGCCCCGCGCCTGAGGCGCTTGCAAAGGCGGCTGTCCCTGTGCCTGCCCCTGTGCCTGCCCCTTCTAGCCCGACTGCCGACTCGGTACGTGCGCGAAGAGCAGCGCGGGCGCAAGCCGCCGCGGCGCTGCCATGAGGCGCACGAGGAACGATCTATTTGGGGGCTCATCGCGACATCGTCGCCCTTGTGCTTGTGCCACAAGCCTTGTCACGCTTTCACAGCGCTCTTCACGCAAACTTCGTCAACACGCATCCCCGCGAACACAACAGGCCCAGAGTCAGTCATGTGTCATCCCCCATCGCCGTACGCCATTCAGCCTGTTGTGCTTCTCGGTCCGCCCCGCGCTCTCCGCGCTCACCCCCCCGGTGCGCGGTTGTGGGTGAAGCGTGCGGTGAAACTGTGAAAAATCTGCACACCGCAATAATCCCAATCGTCTCGCGGAGAGAGTCATGCACGGATGCAGAACGCGGAGCCGTACGCACAAGGGTTACACACTCTCGAGATTCTCGTCTGGTCAGGTCGTGCGCGCGGCGGTGTGATTATTTTTCGCGGTACGAAAAACTCGCAATGGAATGAATGACTTTCCCGCGTCCCGACACCGTCTGCTCCAATGCTCCATGACGTGCCAAGGGGTACTGCGGGCTCCCAGCTCTGTGTACGTGTGTATATACTGTGAGTCAAAGTATCTCTCATTCATGCATGGAGTGGTGCGTGAGTGGCCACTCGTCTCTCTGAGTTCAGAGGCGGTCGCCCGCCGCACAAAGCGTGCTGCCCCGCGCCCGACCGGGCTCAGAGGAGCCCCGCCGCCGCCTCGCCCGCCTTGGAGGCGCCGTTCTTGAAGAAGTCGAAGACAGTGGTGAGGCACTTCTTTGCCGCCTTGTAGGCGACGACCGCGCCGACGACCATGAAGCCGAGCGCCGCCAGCCTTGCATACTTCAGGTTGCAGTCGGTCCAAAAGTGCAGGAAGGCGGGCTTGCCGTCCTGCAGGGTCCACGTCTGCGGCGCAAAGGACCACATCTGCCCCTCGTCCTGTTACGGCGCGGGGAGGAGAGGCGAGGGTGAGGCACGGTCGCGCCTGGCCGCTGGGGCGGGGGGGCGCGCCTGGGTGACCGCGTTGAGCATCACGTTGACGTAGTCGGCCAGCGCCCAGAAGCCGAGGCCTCCGAGCGTGAATGCCTTGATGCCGGCGGTGATTGGCTGCCCCATGTACAGACGGTCGCCTCCGATGATGCCGAGGCCGGTCCCCTCGATGCAGACGAGCGCGAGCTTGCTGTACCCTCCCTGCTGGCGGATAGTCTCGTTGAAGATGTCGACAGGGAACGGGTCAGTGCAGGTCTCGTTGGTCGCGTTGCCCAGCATCGGCTGAATCAGCGAGGCGAACTCCTCCTGGATCTCGGCGCCGCCGCCACCGGGCACCTGGCGACAAGGTCGGAGTTGAGAGCAGGGTCAGAGTCAACTCGTCCAGTCGCCGCGCGTTCAGGCGTGGTGGGCGGCGGGCCGCGAGCACCTGAGTATGCGCCGCCGACTCGGCCATTCCTGCCTCCGGAACCGCAGCCTGAAGCGCGGCCTTCGTCAGATCCGAGTTGATGTCAGCGGGAGCTCCGGCGGCGAGGGCAAGACACAGGCAGGTGCCGATCCGAGTGAGCGGCGACGACATCGTGGCGATCAGGGAGGCGGCAAAGAGCAGCAAGGGTGTGATGGAGCGGCAAGGGCCTCGTCAAGCCGAGAGAAACCCCGGGCAGGCGCCGCGAATTTCTTCTTTCTTTTGGGTGCTAGAACTTGCATTGTTCCTACCAAAAGAAATCCCGCTGGCCGGCGAAGCAGCGTCGGGAAAATCGCACAGGGCGACAGACTGGCAAGACAAGTCAACGTCGGTGTATATGCGGTCGACTGCCACGACGACCACCATCGTGGCGGCCGTGCTGCTGCGCGCGTGCGTGTCGCTGCACGGCTACTCGGGCGAGGGCGTGCCGCCCATGTACGGCGACTTTGAGGCGCAGCGCCACTGGATGGAGGTGACCGTCAACCTTCCGGCCGAGAGGTGGTACGTGCACGGCCCGGACAACGACCTGCAGTACTGGGGCCTCGACTACCCGCCGCTGAGCGCGCACTTCAGCTGGGCGGTCGGCCGGCTCGCCCAGGCGTGGCACCCGCAGCTCGTCGCGCTGCACGCTTCGCGCGGCCACGAGAGCGCCGAGACGCGCGCCTTCATGCGCCGCTCCGTGCTGGTGGCCGACCTGCTCGTGTTTGTGCCCGCCGCGCTCGCTTTTGCGCGCCTGCCGGCGGCGGCGGGCGGCGGCGGCGGCGCGCCCACCCGCACGCTCGCTCTGCTCCTGCTGAGCCCTCCTCTCGTGCTGGTCGACCACGGCCACTTTCAGTACAACTGCGTGTCGCTGGGGCTGGCGCTGTGGGCGCTGGTGGCGGCGCTGTCGGGGCGGCCCCTCGCCTGCTGCGTCGCCTTTTCGCTCTCGCTCAACTTCAAGCAGATGGGCCTCTACCTCGCGCCGGCCGTCTTTTGCTACCTGCTCGCCGGCGTGCTGCGCACGCGCGGCGTCGGCCTCGCCGCGAGCCGCTTCTGCGCGCTGGGCGCCGTCACGTCGCTCACCTTCGCCGCGTGCTGGGCGCCCTTCTTGGCGAGCGCGACGCCGTACGACTCGACGCTCGCCGTGCTGCGCCGCGTCTTTCCGACCTCGCGCTCGCTGTACGAGGACAAGGCTGCCCGCCCTAGACACTTCCTAGACACTTCCTAGACACTTCCTAGCTCGCTGTACGAAGACAAGGCTGCCCGCCCTAGACACTTCCTAGACACTTCCTAGACACTTCCTAGCTCGCTGTACGAGGACAAGGCTGCCCGCCCCTGTATATGTACAACATATGCGCTGCTGCTGCCGGAGGGCACGCCGCGGGACTCGTCCGTGACGCGTCCGTGACGCCTCCCCGCCAAGGTTGCCAACGTGTGGTGCACGATGGCGCTGCTGCCTCCCCTCAAGCTCAAGGCAGGCCCGCCCGGCCGCACCCGCTCTCCACGCCCCCCGCCTGCGGACGGCACGCTCCTCACACCTGCAGGCCAAGCTCGCGCTCGAGGCGCTGCTGCGGCTCTCGCTCGGATGCACGCTCGCCGCACTCCTCCCGCCCTGCGCGCTGCTGCTGCGCGCGCCCTCGCGCCGCGCTTTCCTGCTCTGCGCGACGGCGTGCGGCCTCGCCTTCTTCCTCCTCTCCTTCCAGGCGCCGCCGAGATGCGGCCGAGATGCGGCCGAGATGCGGCCGAGGTGCTGCCGAGATGCGGCTGAGGTGCTGCCGAGATGCGGCCGGGGGGTTGCCGAGATGCGGCCGAGGTGCTGCCGGGGTGAGGCTTTCCGTTGAAGAGACGGATCCGGCAGCTCGAGCTGCACACCTCACTCCCGGCGGCGCCGCCCCCAGGTGCACGAGAAGCACCTGCTGCTGCCGCTGCTGCCCGCCGCTCTTCTCTCCACGGAGCACCCGCGCGCGTACGCCTGGTTCGCGCTGCTCGCCGCCTTCTCCATGTTTCCGCTCCTGGCGCGCGACGGGCTCCGGCTCGCCTACTCCGTCTGCCAGCTCGCCTTTGGCGCGCTCGCCGCCGCCCTCACGCCGCCGATGGAGGTGGGCGGCAGCGCGACGGCGGGCGGCCTTCTCCTCGCCGCCTCCCTCGCCGGGATGGTCGCGCTCCACGTCGCCGAGGCGGCCTTGCCGCCGCCGCGCCGCTACCCCGACCTGCACGCCGTCGCCTTCTCCGCGTACGCGTGCTGCCACCTCGTCGGCGCCTACGCCGCCTGCCTGCACGCGCTGTGGCGCACGACCGCCACCGCGCCGCCGCACACGCCGCTCGACGGCGGCGGCACGACCGTCCGGGAGAGGCGAAAGGCGGAGTGATCGACCTTTTCAATTAACGCCGAAAAACTTTCTCTCCTCTCGCTGACACAACAGTACACAGAGTTGCCAACTCCCAACTGACAGTTCAGGTAAAAACAGTTGTGGGCAGCGCCCCCCGCCCCCGTTTTTCGGCGAGAGTGGCGGCGAATCACCAGGCGGTCGTTTTTCTTGCTTTCCCGCCTTTCGGCCGATCCTCCACCCTTGAAGCGCCCCCCCCGCAGGCCCAGCCACGATGAGAAACCAGCGACGGGTCAGGTTGCGTTCGTTTGTCACTCGCCATGCGCGTCCTTGGCTGACCCTCCAAAACTCCCTCCCCGCCGTTCGCGGCTCGGCTTGCGTATGCGGATGGGAGCTTCGAGGACATGCAGGCGTCCCACCCCCTCCGGCCATCCCCCCGGCTCCCAAGCGCGCGGCCGCGACGCGCTGCGCACCCTCTTCCGCGCTGGACCCGCTCTCGGCATGGCCGTCGTCCGCCGAGATCACCTTCTCTTCGCGCCGCAGGTGCACAACCAAGGGCTGGCCACCTCCGTATCCATCATGGTGAAGCCAATGGGCCAAAAAGGGAGAGCGCTCCCCTCCCAGGTGGCCGGAGGGTACACCTCGGGTCGGCGTGCTGGGGGGGGCGCCGGTGCGCAAGCCCACTTTCCGGGCGACCCCGAGGGGGAGGAGGCCGGGCGAGTGGCAGCAACTCACTGTTAGTGTCCCGGGCCGCTGCGGCGCCGTTTATACGGCCCCTCGTGATGTCTTTCCGATTTTGCATTGTGAGTCGTCCTCTGGCCAGCCGAGGGGCACCAGAACGGCATGTGTACTGGTGCTGGCTGCGGGTGCGGAATGGGCTTTTTTTAACTCGCAACCAACTATACTATACAAGGACACCCTCGGGGGGGACACTCGGCGCATGTGCGTCACGTCAGGGTGGAGTTGGCCGTGGCCGAGCGTCGTCTCCCAATCGACTCGCAGCGCGGAGTCGAGGGGTGAAGCGCGTCGCGCTGCGACACTCGAGAGCCGGCGGGATAGCCGTGGGGCGCGGCCGACTTTGATGTCCTCGAAGGTCCGGTGCTCATTCGTCCTCTGAGACCCACGCGGACAGGAAAGGGGCGAGAACGCGGCCATTCTCCATTGACAATCTAACGCAACCTTGAGCTAGCCCGTTCCACACAGTGGCGGGCGGGCGTAGTGTCGTTTCTTGCTTTCGGCCGATCCTCGCAGGCCGAGAAGGCGACCCGACAAAAATAAGTCAAATCTCCTGGAGGGATGTATGTATGTAGGAAGGTAAAAGAAAGAAAGAAAGAAAACAGACAACCCAAGGGAGGGAGGGGAGGTGAAGAACAGCGGGATTTGAGGATTTCAATTTGGCTTTTCAAAGTGTGTGTGTGTGTGTGTGTGTGTGTGTGTGTGTGACGGTGAAGCGGCGGGGAGTGAGTGAGTGAGTATTCTTGATACGAAACCACGACGACACCTGAGGGAGGGTGTAGAGGATGGTAGAGTGTAGAGCGCTGTAGAGCTGTAGAGATGTAGAGCGCTGTAGAGCTGTAGAGCTCTACATCCGCCGCGTGACGAACTGCGAGCGTTGTAGAGCGATGTAGAGGCGCTCTACAACGTGAAATCTCTACAACAAACTCTACATCATAAGCGGCGAACGAGGCACGGTCGCTCTCCGACATGAGGCGCGTTGCACTTGCCAGTGCTGCCCTGGCCTTCTGTCTGCCCGCCCAATGGGTGGCAGGTGCCTCTGCTGCTGTGGCATGCCTCACGGCTGCGACTGGCCGGCGCCCCGGCGCGTCAGCTCGGCTCTGCGTAGCGATCGTGGCCAGCGCAACTCGCCTGGACTCAACGCTCAGCCAGGAGCTCCCGCACGCGCTGGCGCGAGTCATGGCGCATGCAACGCGCAGCAATGCTCGCCTCGCTTCGCGCAAATGCGACCGTCCTCGCAGCCGACAGTCCACCGCCTGCTAAAGAAGCACTGCGACGAATGCGGCACCGGCGACGCATGGCAGGCTGGTCATGACGCAGTTGTAGGGTGTTGTGTGTCGTCAGGAGTGACTCTCTGTGTGTCAGGGATAGTCTTTCAAAACCGCGCAAAGATACTGTCCAAGCCTAAAGTCTGGGCAGGTTACTCAGGACACGATCCCGGCGTGAACACAACTAACTGACGGATCCGCTCCTGACAGTGGCATGCACCGCGCCGCGGCGCGTGCCACTGTCTTTGTTTGAAGTAAAAGTCGAATCAGAGCGCCGTCGGCGTTGTCCTGAGTTTTCTCCCCTGGACCGCCCGTCCGGCACCGCTCCGGGACGCACGCCGGCGAAGCACCATCAAGCTGCTGTACGGCCCCGGCATCGCCTCCCCTGGCTTAGCTAGACTGAGAGATATTGTGCACAAGATTGGTCTCTACAATATATACACTGACACTCCCCCTCCCAGAGCTCGTCCCGGTCCGCCACGGCCATCCTCGGCCTCCGGAGGGCCCCCGGCCGCGGCGCGGTGCGGCGGCGTCACAAATCCGACGGCAGAGCACCGGGACGCGGTCGGGCGATCTAAGGCCCAGAGAGGCGTATGCATTGCCCATCCAGGGCTATCACCTGGACCTATCAACAGGCGCCTGCGGCGCCGTGGTCAGGAGCTGCTGTTCACGCCGGTCCACACTTTCATCGCGCCTGCGTGACCCCTAGCTAGGGGGGGGTGCGCGGTCGCAGGGCCATAACACGTCTCCGAGGGATAGTTCTGCGCTCCGGGTTTCCCCTAGCTGCGGAACGCACCCTCTTCCTCGACCGTGGCGGGGTGCGCGTTCGCAGGGACAGAGGGTTGGCTCTGCGCTCCGGGGTTCCCCCAGCGGCGGAATTTTTCCCTCGCGCTGTGGGTCCCCCTAGCTGCGGAACGCCCCCTCTACTCGGAGCCCACTCGCGCTCAGTTTCTTCTTTCTGCCGTATTCGAGTAACCCCTGGATGGGTCGCTCGCGCGACCTCTCCTGGATGCGCAAGGGGCCCATTGGGGTCACGCGGAGGGACGAGGGAGGCGCTGTTAGCGGCGGAGGAGGCGAAGGCGGCCGCGCGGGCGGCGGAGAAGGCGGCGCGGGCGGCGGAGGGGGGGAAGGGCGGCGGCCGCGGGCGGCAGTCCCGGGAGGCACGCCGGCGGAAGGGCTCGTCTTCGCGGGGCGGGGTGCGCACTGCGCGCCGCGAGGATGAGGAGCCTGAGCCAGGGGAGGGTTGGGAAGGGGGGGCGAAGCCGGAGGAGTATGACGGCCTCTTCGACGGGGCCGTTGTCTGCTGTGCCTTTTGTAAGGGGCCGTTGTCTGCTGTGCCTTTTGTGGTGTCGGGTGCAAATGTAGCACTTGGCGTGTGGAATCTGCCCCGCGGTGGGGGGTGCCTGGCTGCTGAGGCCGATCTTGGCCTCCCCCCCAGCGCTGAAGCTGGTGATGAAGGCGATGCTCTTGGTGGAGTTCTTCGCCAGGATGAGGATGTCACCGGTCTCGAGGTTCGTATGGAAATCGCTCGGGTCCACGTTGGCTAGCTCGCCGGCGGCGCGCGCGGCGTCCTGGGGCGTCGCGCCCGCGATGGTTGGCAGCTGGTAGACCATGTCGCTTTGAGAACTGAAAGGTAGGCGCCTGTCTGAGCAGGAGCCGACGCTAGTCGAGAGCGGTGTGAGAGCCTCGTGGCGCTCGGAGGTCCCGCCGCCTACAAAACGGCGGTCAGCAGAAGGCGCGGGGTAAGGGTTCCCGCCCGCTAGGCTGCCCTCTGCGCCGAGGCTCGACCCGCTTCTCCTCAGTTCACTAGACAAACTGAAGTTTGTGTATCATTTCTTCAGTCTTCGGCATCGGCCGGGCAAGGCGCGGCTGCGCGGTTTTCCAAAGAGCTAACTCGCCGCACCCTTCGCGCATTTGACCACTGTCCCGCCGCCGGAAATGAACCTCTTCGGGAGAAAAAAGGCCGGTGCGACCCCACCGCTGAAAGCCCCAGCTTTTCTTGGACCCTGCTCACCCCGACGTCCGTCGCAAATCGCAGAACCGCCGCCCCCGCCGACATCGAATGCCGGTCCAACGGTGTCAGCGTCCAGCACTCTGAACGCAATCACAAAGCTGCGCGATGCGGGCGACACGCTGGACAAGCGAGAAGACTACCTCAATAACAAAATTAAGAAGGAGGTGCGTTGCGGCTCAGATCCTTGGACTGCACATGAGGTTTAGGGTGCAGACGCCTCGCGGCGGCGGCGTCCTGAGCATGCCCCCGCCCGCCCACAGACCGACGAGGCCAAGAAGTTTATGGGCCAAGGCAAAAAGAGTCAGGCGCGCGCCTCCCCACTCGGCCCGGCTTGCCTCCCCTCTCGCCCCGGCCGCGTTGGCGAGGCGGCCGGTCGAAGCCAGGGCCGCGTCGGTCGGCGATTGGCCGCACCGCCCCCTGACGCGCGCGCGCTGTCGGGACGGCAGGCGCTCCAGTGCATCAAGCGGAAGAAGATGTACGAGGGGCAGGTCGAGAAGATTGGACAGGCGAGGCTGAATCTCGAGACGCAGCAACTCGCGCTCGAGCAGCTCAACCTCAACAAGGAGGTCGTCGAGGCGCAGCGCGAGGGCGCAAAGACCATGGCCTCCGTGACGGCGCAGATGGGTGAGTGGCTCTCCGCGTGTGCCCTGTACGCCGTGTGCCCGGTTCCCCGTGTCCGCGACATGTCCCCGCGACACGTCCGCGCGACACGTCCGCGACAACAACATGCACATGCACATGTCCCTGCGACGCGTCCGGGCGTCCTTGACTAAACCGCGACGCGTCCCGCAGGCGGAGTGGATGCGGTCGACGACACGATGGGCACCGCGAGAGCAGAGGGGGGCGGAGTGCCGCCTTCGGGGCGGGTGCGCTGACGGCGAGGCTGGTTCGCTCGCTAGGCGCGATTGAGGACGCGCAGGCGGATGCGAACGACATAGCGGAGGCGCTGGGGCGGCCGATGGCCGGTGGGCGTCTCCTCGCGCGAAGCGGCGCCGCAGCGGTGCGCTGCTCGGCGTGAGTGGCGGTCGTGGTGCTGCTGCGTCTAGGCGCGTACGACATGGACGACTCGGACCTGCTCGCAGAGCTCGAGGAGCTCGAGTCGGAAGACCTCGAGAGCCAGGAGAAGAGACGAGCCTTGTACCGCTCCCCGGAGGTCCGAGCCTCGCCCGAGCCCCTTCTCGGGCCCACCCAGGCGCTCGGCGTGGACTTGTCGGAGCTCAAAGGCTTGGACGCGCCGTCGGTGCCGTCCTCGAAGCCAATGCCGTCGGCGCCGACGGGCAAGGTCCGGGCTCCCCGCGCCGCACTGTCGCGCCGCAGCCTGCCGCACGCCCCCCTCCTCTAAGGACGGCGTGAGCTCTACGCCTAGAAGCCTGATCTCACGCTGAATCGGAGGCGCCTCA